AGCAATTCAATAAGAGAGCTCGGAATTGGTCAAGCCCTCTTCCCACACATCTAACCAGCTGGCTCCAAATAGAATTTATAATCTGCATAGTATACTTCAGCCGTCACGGAAGACTTGGTATTTGTTACCACTTGTTGAAGCTTACACCTCAGCTTTAAGCATTAGGAAATTTGAGGTGTGAGCTTTTAAATTTTACCTTTTCTGAACTTTTATTATCGGCCTCACCTTTTTGGTATCTAAAACATTATGGAGATTTTTTTTGTTTTATGGGTTTTTTTCCTGTTTTTTGCTTTTGAACAAAAGGAGAAAGTAAAGGAAAAGGCAACATCGGAAGTAGAGGATAATGTTAAAAAAATGAGAAATTGAGCCACGAGGATGAAGATAAGTAATCAAAATGTTGATGATACTCTCAAACATGCTATTCGTTATAGGAGACTTCTAAACTATTTCTATTATACTATTACAGCTTCACTATGTAATTAATTTCAAATTTTAACATTTGCTACTTTTACTATTTATTTTATGCTTGTTAATTATTAATGGCTTTTAAATTTGTTTGTTTACTTTACTGTGGATGTCAAATAAATTGTTTATGGTTTGTTATAAGCATTGTTTTATATTATTTTCCTATTTTATTGGTTAGTCACGAGGCGCAACCCTCAAATGCCTCGAGGCATACACCTCGCATCATATAGGTCAAACATCTGGTAATGACTAGCCTTTTTAAACATTGATCACGTAAACTCTTTTATTCTGAAATACAAATTATCACATAAACAATCATACAAACAATCTTGTTTGGATTTGAAGATCTTCAACAAATTCCAATTTGTAGCTTCATGATGACCAAGTAAGGTAATCAAAACTGTTTCAACTCCAACTCAGTGGCTTCAATTAATTCCTTAACATACCACATCAATGCAACAACGCAATGACTTTGTCAGAATATACATGATCAAAATTTGAAAGGCAACTGTTGTAAGCCCTGAAATGATTGCAGCCCATGATGAGACAAATTCTTCATCAAGGTAAGGAATGTCAACGCATTAATTAAGAAGAACCACTTACAAGTAAAGCCCCAACTCATATGCCATATCAGCTAAGATTTGCTGATCATCTCTACTGAAGTTCCGCCTTATTACCATCTCCTGATCTCCACCTCTCTTCAATTGATCCATCTTCCCCCACCATTCATTCTGATCCATCAGCTCCATCTACACATAAACAATCACACAATATGAGCCAAGCACATACCTCTCTATATTCTGGACAAGCAAAATCTTACATACGGATATTAAAATCCTATCAAAAAAGTGCATTCAAGCTAAGTGATTCCCCATACATTCCACTTTATTGTTTCGAAGATGGAGCTTGTCATTTTTCATAAATTTACTTTCTGTCAGAAACTGATATTGAAAATATAATTTGTGCAACAAAAGCTATTACCTTGCACTATCAATACAAAAATCAACACCTTTTTTTTCTTTCTTATTGGTACTCAAGATATAATTCCTGCATAAGAAGTTGTATCTTTCTTCACAAGTAGCAAAAGTATCCTATTTGATTACACCTAGCTATATCGCACAAGAAAGTTACTTCTTTTTCTCGTATAAACTAGAATTAACAACACATTTCGTGATAAATAAAAAAGTAATTCATCCCTTTCTATTCAAATGGGATTAAAAATTTATAACTCTTTAACCGGTTTGTAAATGGAGAGTCCTGGACTGATTATAAACCCACAAAACAATTACTTCAAAACGGAGAGAGAGAGATAAATATATGTGGAAACGGTACATCGGCGGCTTTTTGGCGGAGGCGCTCGGCTCTCCAGACAGGGTCCCACCAGCGCTGCTCTCCGCCACCGCCTCCACGGCCTCCACCTCGCCCACGGCCACCTCCACCGCCTCCTCCACGGCCACCGCCGCCGCGACGACCACCTTGGAAATTGGGACGGTGAGACATGGAAGAGAAGGTTGAGATCCGAATGTGAACGCTCTTGAAAGCGTTTCTGTAACTTCCAATTAGCGCAGCAGAAATGAGAAATGGCTTGCTGAATTGAAAGAGGGTGTAAATGTTACAGGAATGGAAAAGGGGGTTGGGAAGGAGACGGTGCGAGTGAGGCATTTATAATGCGCACACTGCAACGCACCACCATCCTGTATTCATATTGCCTATTTAATTTGTCTAACTTTAATAAATTGAAAATTAACGTAAGCTATCTATCTACCTAGTCAAAATCAAAAGGTTATTAAAAGAAAATTTACCTTATTCTTTTCAAGCTTAAGCCAAGCATGCTCTTTCAAATAGAATATACATTGTACAACGTTGATAGTTTCAATTTTGTTATTTTGTGTGGTCGTAAATTTCATTGAAGTTTAGGATAAAAATCTTGAGGCACCCTTCATAAAACTTAAGTAGGACAATAACATTGTCTTCTATGAATACATTGGGAAATTGACAACAAACGGTACCAAATGTATGGTCGTTGTGCACAAACTGTTTCTAACATCTCGTTCTTGATGCTAACTACCTCAACTTATTTGTGCGCAAAAAGTCCTTTTGAATGTTTTTTAATACATTCTAGCCGTTTTAAGTATATTAGTTTTATTAAAAATACACTTAATACCTATAGCCATTTACACACTTAAAAGATTATGTGTAAAATTTCTTAATTTCCACATTTCTTTGAATAGTATCATTTCTTAGCGGCGGTAACTGACATTCGTCACGAATAATTCATTATTGTTAGTGAGCAAATAGTGTCATTAAATTATAATGTGGCGTTCCCTTCTTCTCCATTTGATCTATCTTCTTATGTTGGGATCGCTTCTTTATTCGCTAAATTTTACTTATATACTTTTTTTTTCTCTCAAATATACAATTTTGCAACATTACTTTTATTAACATGTCGAAAACCGATTTTAACAACTTGCATGAGAGTATCCAAAATCATAAAGTAGAATCAAATTTTAATTTTAATTGGCATAAATTATAAAAATAAAAATAAAATCATTAAAGTCAAATAATGTTGAGGCCAAAGCCTAAATCAAGCGATAAGTCCGTAAGAGTGAAGTCTTACTCGAACATTGGCCTGCGTTCGAGCCTCCTTTGGGAGGATGATAGTGAATTTAAAAAAAAAAAAAATAGATAATAGCAAAAAAAATTAAAATAAATATCTAATTAAATACACAATTTTTCTCTTTTTTCTATTGTACATCATTTTTCATTATCTATCTACAATATATTAAAAGGGAAGATTGATGAGAAACTTTTGAATATCCAATTTAAACTTACATATTTTATTATGCCCAATATACCCTTATTTAATTTTATTTTTGTTAATAATTAATTAATAACATTAATTCCTTACATATTTAACTATATGCCCAATGTACCCTTGTTTAATTTTAGTTTCATTAATAATTAATTAGTAACATTAATTCAATTTATTCAACATGAAATTAAAAAAAATTGCTTTTCTTTTCTATTTGTCAATAATTCCCTAAATTAATTTTCTAATATTACATTAATTTTTATTTTTATTAACATCTTTTATTATAAAAATAGACTTAAATTTCTTCCCTCGGTTAAACTAGTCGGTTTAAAAAAAATAAAATCCTTCTCTTCTTTAAAAGGTTGTTTCATTGGGTTTCACACATATCCTAACAACTAAATAATATATTTAATGTAATAAAATTAATTCATACAGAATGTTACTATATAATTTGATAAAATTTTATTTTTACGTTATATTTACCTTTAATTAAAATTTGTTTTAATTGGTAGTTACACATGAATCCCCGTCATACATAAGTTTAGATAAAAATGGAATACCAAATAATTGGTAATTATATTCCCACTAAATTTTTTATTAACTACACAACAGTAATAAAAATTTATAATCTTTGTTCATTTTCACACTTAAGTCCTCAATTATTTTCGTTATATGAAACTAAATAAATTATTATAACATTGTAATATGTGATGAAATTCTAAACAATCCACACAAAACATTCATAGCTTAAAAATTCCAATATACAGAGGGAGCGTACAATGAAGAAAGATGGAAAGAATCTGTTGAGCCTACATTTTTTGATTTCTTGCCAATGAAAAGCAAGTAAAAGGGATTGAGATATGGCTATTTTTATAATTAATGTAAATAAATGAGAGGGGGAAATGCAGGTTGTTTTGTATTGGTACATATACTATGTAATAAAATAATTAAGATCATTATAGTTATAAAAATCAACATTTCTCATTCTAGAACTGTTGTCAGTGAAAGCAATTTGTTATGTTGCCAATGAAAGCAAATTGTTGTGTGTTATATCTTCTCAAAACTCGAAAATACCATAGATGATGCTTATGCATGAAAATGTATTCATGTTGGGACATTGAAGTTTTGGAGAAATCGATTTGCGTGAGACAAATTCTAAAAATAAAAACATAGTTGTTTTGGCATTTAACAAATTTTTTTATTATGTTAAAAAGATAATGTTGTTCTTTTTTCCCTCTATTTTTATTTTTTAATTCTTTTAGTAATGTCCATCTAAATGATGAACATAAGTATAGTTGATGAGTGTTGTAATTTATTTTTATTTTTTTGCTATTAGCTAAGCTTGGTTCACATTTCAATTTAATTTATAATATCATGAACTTAATTGTATGAAATTTCTATTTTAGATATATCTATTACCACGAATCATTTTAATTGTATCTATACATTCATTTGGAGCATTTTAAACACATGGCAGCCCGATAGTATTATTATCTTATCATATTCTTGCAAATATGCAGTTTTTATTCATATTTATGAATTTGTGGAAACATCTTTGGCTGGACATCTATATGGCAGATCTCTTTCCACCAACGTGACTCATCTTTGGCTTGATTATTTATATTTATAATATTTATAATTTTATAGTTTTCATTTAGTTGTTTTATTATGTATTAAACTATGATTTAATAATTAGTTTTACGGGAGATGATGTGACATTAGCATAAGTGCAATTATAGTGAACTTCGACAATTAGGATTTTGTTGATACGTGAGCAGCAGACACTTTATATTGATCTTTGACTGATTTTTATATTAAGAGGATGTTTGAGCCTCAAATTTTATTTTTTTTTGGCTAAAAATGCATTTTTGAATGGTAGATTGATGGAGAATGTGGGATTAAAAAATAAGGAAAAATTTTGAATTTGTGTGTCATATTATTTTATTGAAAAATGTGTGATTGAAAAGAGGATAAAAAAAATGTATTTTGAAAATAATAAGAATCAAACAGGGACTCAATAAAATCATTTGAGATTTTTTTTCATATTTACCCAATTTTCAGTATTAAACAAATTTTGAAGTGTTAATTATGATTAGCGTGTGTCGTTGCATCATATTGGTAATAAGGACAATCATATTCTTGATAAAAAAAGTGATGTATGATATTATGCCCTTGTTTGAACCCACTATTTTCAAAATATATTTTTTTTATCTCTTATTTTCATCCATACATTTTTCAATAAAATAATATTATATGCAAATCCAAAAAAAAAAAAAATTCTTATTTTTTAACCACACATTTTTCATCAAAATTTATTCCAAAATGCAATTTGGACAAAAAAAAAAAAAAAATGGGACTCAAACAGGCTCAGATGTACTATATGCATATATATTTTTTCCAACATCGATAAATAAATTACTAAACCAATATATTAATGACTTTTTTATTTTGCGTCCTAGAAACATCACAGATGAATATATTATCGTTGAAAACACTAAAAAAACGAGATCTGATTTATCAATAGATTGACAAAATGAGTCAGGTCGTCAATTTAATTTGAAAAATATTACTTTTTCCATTTTATTAATTTTTAATGTATATATTTATTGTCATATCTTAAATTTGTTTTCATATTTGTAGGATTGATGTCACTGAACAAAGATCACGATTATATCTTTATAAGACAACTAAAAGCTTCTGAAGTGGATTATAAAAGTATCTATACTTCAGAAAGATTCCATTGAGATCTACAACAATAAGAACAACACTATTGAAGTTTTAAAACTAATTTTGTGAAGCGAAGGTATTATATAATGTCGGAATTAGTCAATACATTTCTTATAGAAGTTTCACTATTAGACTAATAGGGTTTTTTTTATATAATGTTTTCAGGAAAGTAATTTTTAAGATACATTGTTTAAAGATACAATCAAAAAATTCTTTTAATTATATCAATTATCTCAGCTACTTTAAAAAATATTATTAATATTTCAAAAATATTATGTATATCATTCAGTCGATACGTAAAACGTGCAATGCAGGTGCTTACTACTAGTGTTAATATAAAGATAGCTATCTTGACTTCTTATTTTGTAGTGCTATTTTGTGTTAAATTTAGTACTAATTTGTTCAATTAGTGGCGGACACAAGGGGTGGCCTGGGGGTCACGTGAATCTCCAATTATTTGGCAATTAGCCTAAATTTGCATTTTTTTTTCCCTACCAATTCGCTCTTACATTGTTGCAAAGTAATTGTCATCATGTCTCCATCGGTCTCGTTTGTCACTGCAATTGTGGCTTCACCTACACTCGTGGGACCTCCAAACATAGTTAAATTAAGTTATTTTCAAGTAACCAATAGGTAGACATTAGTAGCTTATAATTATAAAAAAAAAAAAAAAATCTTTAACAAAAATTCAAAATGATAGAGAACATGGATTTGGATTAAATTTATATCTATTCGATTTATGTTCAAGTATGATTTTTTATTTTTGTATATTGAATTATGTCAAATAATTTGGAATGATTTATGTCATATGGAATGATTTTCTAATTGTGTATATTGAATGGGTTTGGAAAGATTTTGTCCAATTTGGCTTATATTTATTAAATTGTATTTAGTTGAATTGATTATTAGTATTGAACATTATTAGTATATTTTTTCTTTCCGATTACTTGAATTGATTGTTTATATCAGTTATGAACAGATTTTGTAAATGTAATTTTTCATTTTTTTGTGATAAGCAAAATATTTAATGAAATGAATGTTCGAGATAAAATGAATGAAAATGACGTTGAAGATTAAAGGATTGACAAACTTTATGATAAAATGAATGTTGGTGAAAAAACTA